GACAACGCTTCAGCGTATGAATTAGCGTACGCTTTGGCAGCGGCAGCGGCATAAGGGTTAGCATTAGCCCATGGTAGAGCCGCTGCAATGGCTTCAGCGTCTGCGTACGCCTCTGGTGAAGCGGCTCCAAGAGCCGCAACAGTGAAGTACGCGACAATAGCTGTTAAGCGAATGGACAGTCTCATGAGTCTTTACTTCTATGGCTCGAACAACCATAGCGCCATTATCAGACTCCAAAAGGGGGTCTCACAGTGCCATTTTATAGCACATTTGGAATTGGTGCTCAAGCTGGGCTAGGAGACCAAGCAATACAAGAAAGACTATAAAGTTTGGCGCTGTGGTATTCCACCTTTGACTTACACTGTAGGATTTCTTGTTAAATTAGTCGAATTGTAAACTACTGTAAAGCTTAACAATGGTTACACCCCTTTTTGTTTTCTTGAAACAGCTTGAATCATGAATTGTCAAGAATCAGGTGTTTTCCACAGAGGTTCAAAAGAAACTGTTTGAACCGCTGTACTTCGTCTCTTTCCAAGTTCTTATAAACGCAGCCCTTTATATTATATTGTTCACACCGTATTGATTAAGAATTATCTTATTGTAATTATTTCATATTGCTAGTAACGTTCAGCCAGCACTCGAAGTGGAAGGGAAGTGTATCGATAACCGTTTAACTGTTGGTTGTGTAGTACGCTGTGATATCACTATTTTGGGGAACTATAAGATCAACCATGAAGAGCACAGCGCCTTACAACATCAATGTGCACGATACGCACCTGACTAACGTACTTAGCTATCCAGCTACTGGCCTCTCATGTCTGTCTCCACGCCAGGTGTTCATTTTCTAGTCATCGTGCAGTTAGTTTATGGACGCGCCTGTGAAGCCTTCAATGGTATTTTCGCTGTTGCTCACACTGTTGTTTACTCTGTGTGTATGTTTACTTTTCCAAATAGTGAGCACCACATAGGCTTACATCGCTAAAAGCCTGGGCGCTTAGAACAAGGCTCAGGCAGTAGACGCTGTGACATGAGCACGCTGTACACCATGGCATTTGGTGTGCGATTCGTAAGTTCAACAGAAAAGACGGTGCAAACTAAGCCCATAAGACCAACATTGAAAGAGTGCGCTGGTGTTGCAGTATGGAGCTGAAAGCCTCAAAGAACAACGTCTAATTACTGTAGCAATATCGTTCCAGGTTAATTTCCAGTGCAATATAGCCATTGATGTGGTTGTCACCACTGACTAAGGCCAAAATAAACAAACTCTTAAGCCCGATATTGTTCAGCAACCATGAATCATCAGCGTCAGAAAGCACCTCGCGTACAATGCTTGGTCATACTTGATGAAGACTTGCCTGAACCTGCCAAAGGAACGCGGTATCAACGTTAGAAAATACGCATATTTTATATACGATGCTTTTCTATAGATACACCCGACAAAGTAGTGTACACTGGCATCTCAATGACTTGAATATGACTGCGCTGGTTTCTGTTTAGCGAAGCGTTTCCATGAGATATCGCATATATCCAACCACGGGAGTTTCGTATGACTTCCAAGACCAGGCGTACAGTACTACTTCTTTGCCTATTAATAGTTGATCTACCTTGCTTCTCTGAGTATAGCGGCATCGACAACGTGGCTCAGTAAACGATCGTGCCGTAACCCAGGCACCGCACTATAAGCCAGAGTCAAACAGCAGTGTACAGCTACAATTATTCAGAAGGTAGGATCAAGATGATCAGTGTATATTGAGCCGATGCTTAAATTACCAGCCTTTCCACACAAGGACCATTAACCTTACACTCAGATACGTATCAGAATAAAAGAATTCCTATCAACATCGCTGTCAACGCTGAGCCCATGATTCTCACCGCGCCACCATCAAATTGAGAAACAACTACTTGGGTCGTCACGGCTCCGTCTGCGCCACTAACAGATGACTGAATGGCATCTCCAGCTCCAGTCACTATCACAGTTTCCTCCTCAACAGTTGCTCTATAGCTACCATTGGTACCCGAAGCCTCTGCCAAGGTGCTGGTCACAGTACGTGTGGTGACAATCGTTTGGCTACCTTCAACCTTCGTCTCAACAACCTTCGT